TCACTCTGCCACTTGAAACATATGACCTACCTGATACAATTTTGCTTGAGTAGCAGTGGCATATAGAGATGCAGTTTGGAGTCTTTGGCAGACCCCTTTTGGTCAATCATAAGGCAGACCTTTAGTTTTCAGATAACGCCTTGTCATCCTACGCAGATAATTCTAATTTTTAGAAACAGATTTGGACTTGTTACTGGTCCTTAGTAGAGACTGAACCCCTACCCAATGGCCACCAAGTCAGAAAGCAGCCTGAACTGCCTCTCATTAATTGAGTGTCATTTAGTGAGGAAAGTATTATATTGCTGAAGGTGCTGGCCTTCCTCTGAATTTGTCCATTGGGCAGGTAGCAGCAATGCTGCCAGGCTGTACCTGCTGCTCAGATGAGTGGAAAACTGGGTAAGGCAGGGTAGCCATGCTCTTTCTCCTCTCACCTTGATCCCACTGTCATCCCCAAGTTCTTTTGGCATCCACCAAAAACTCTAGAAGCAGCAGAAATAGAAACACAGAAGACCAAAAATGGGCTCCCATAAGGTTTTGATGTGGTGTTCACGTAACACCAAAATCAATTCTTACTCTGTTTCAGAGACTGTCATGGATGTCAAATGACACTTGTAGTGATGAATAAAAAGATTTAGAATTAGAAAACTTAAAGGGGAAGGACATGCTTGGTATTTCCCAAGCCCAAAGAAAGGAGGGGGGTTGTCAAACCTTAAACAGCAATATTAAAAGTTTCTGTGGGCAAAATAGTGAACCACACAAGAAGCAACCAAAAATGATGGAAGGCATACATCTATTGTACTAAGAAGAATGAGTACATTCAGACCTTAAGGGACAGCTAATGATCAAGAACCAACAGTATTGAAGGAAGAAGGCCAAGCTGAAGGCTTTGGCAAAAACAAGACTCCAATGATAGACAAAATGCTAGCTGTGTTTCAAGATACACATTTCAAACCATTTCTCTCTGTCAAGCAATGTGGAACAGAAAATTTAGGATAGACCCATATTTATGCATCCATTCCAAGTACACTACAGTGAGTATTAAAAAATATTATTGCATGCAAAGAAAATCTTACTAGTTAAAATTTTATTGCAACTGTGTATCAACAGGAAAGTGCCAGAAAGTCACATCAGAGTTAAAAGAAGTTGTACAAAGAGGGTTATCATTGATGCCAGATGGAGCTTGGTTAAAAAGAGAATACCAAAAAGATGTTTATCTGTTTTCTACCGTGTGGATCCTAACAAATTAGGGCTAAATGGAAAAATAATGGAGTGCTAGACCATTTAAACTGTATTATATGGGACCTGTAAACTAAAAGATTGTTTGTTGTTGTTAAGTGCCGTCGAGTCACAGGCAACTCATATCGACCCTATGAAGGAGAGTCCTTGACGCTCGGGTGCCTTTCATCCTCTCTCCAAGTTCATAGGGTTTCCGGAGGCAAGCTATTATGGAAGTGGACGCCACTCCTCCTTCCACGCTTGTTCAATTGGGGAGCCCCACCCCACTCTCAGTCCACATTGAGATAGTCAATAAAAATGAACAAGGGGATACTGTGTGGTTTAAAACCAGCAAAGGTATGTCAGGATTGTATGCTTTCAACACACAGTTTTAATCTGTATGCTGAACAAACAAGCCAAGAAGCAGGACTATATGAAAAATATGGCATCAGGACTGGAGGAAAACTTCACAACCTTGCTTGCCGAAAGTGAAGAGAAGCATTTCTTTACAAAGATCAAAGAATACAACCTTTACCATGGAAATTACATTTCAATTTAAAGAAAACAAAAATTATTACTAGACCAAGGACAACATGCTAAAAGGAGCAAAGACTGAAGTTGTCAAAGACTTCATTTTACTTGATGTCACAATATCCATGGAAACAGCAGTCATGATGAACTGGATGAAATATACTGAAAGGCTTTAAAATGCTTAAGGGCAAAACTCTCATTTTGGTAAGGACATAATCTTGAATGATCCAGGAAGCATCAAAAGAAGTTGGAAGGAATACAGAATCACTGTAAAACAAAGAATTGCTTGACAATGAAAAATTTTAGGAAGTACCATATAAACAAGAATAAAGAAGTTCAAGCTGCACTGAGGGCACTGGGCAAAATATAAAGCCCCAGGAATTGATGGGATACCAACTGACATTGATCAATTAATAGATGAAAACTCTGGACATTCTCACCAGTCTATGCCAGGAAATTTGGAGGACAGTTGCCTCCAAAAGTCTGGAAAACTGACTGGAATATTTGCTCCCATTCCCAAGAAAGGTGATTCACTCCACCAGATGCTCTGCCGAGGAAGGAGGGACAATATCCTCCTGTACCAGTCAGATCTGATTTGACGGTACATGCATACAAAAATAATAAAATTTAAAAAAAAAGAAAGGTGATTCAACAAAATGGAGACATTACTGAACACCATTAATATCACAAGCAAAATATTGCTGAAGACCATCCCACAATGGCTAGAACAGTACACTGACAGGGTCTTGTCAGTAGTTCAAGCTGGGTTTAGAAGAGGTTGTGGCAAGACAGGAAAGATGAACAGAAATGGGAAACAGGGAAGAGTCATTATAATATAGGAATTGCAACAAACTTCACAAAACAGAATGTACATTGTTTGATGCAAAAGGAATTTGCCCTGTAAACTTATCCAATCAACAATAAAGTTTTATCCCCAATTATGTATATGTTAATGATTCTTAAAACTATGTGAACCAACCAAACCAACCTGTAGAAAAATAATGCTCTAGCTTCTGAGTAAAAAATATTTATATGACTTGTTTACTGGAGTCAGAACCAGCCCATAACTGACCCTCCAGGTTTCCAGAGGCAGTTAACTGCATGAAAGGAGACTGCCCATCTTTCTCTTGCATGTGACAAATACATTTAAATAATTGAACTTAAAATGCTAACCCAATTTTTAAATTGCTACAGTAAATGTCATTGGAAATGGAATCCATTGTTACATACACAGTGTCACTTTTATTCCCCCTGTAAATGTTCAAATTTAAGAAAGTATCTCTTCATTGCCATCCTATCTTCACTTCCTTTTTTAACTTTTTCTTTATACTTATAAAAATGTTTATCATCAATGTTTAGTATGTCTTGTGATGTGCTGAAATCAACTTATAGTGAACAGTATTAACAAAATTCAGAGGTTTGCATTCCAGCATAGAAAAAAGTTAAATAATTGCATTTCACCTCCCCATCCCCTTCATTTCTCTGTGATGTTTCAGCATCTTTTGACCCATGTTTAACTTGTGTTTGTACTCCTCTAAGCTGGTGTTGTAAAGAGTTTTGTATGAGGCCATTAAAACCCCAACCTTTGACTATGATCTCTTATCCTGGGCAAATAAAGGGGACTCTCACACTTAGCTGAAAAACATCTCTTACCTCCAAAAAAAGAAATTGTTTCTCCAAATTGTTTCCCTTTAACTCCAGAAGAGAGAAGTGCCACTGTGAGTAAGCACTGTTTAAACACTTGTAGTTAATATGTAACTTGTCTTTCCTACATAGAAAGCCCTGTAAGGAAAATGGAATAATATGCCAAGTAGATTAGTAGCTCACTGCCTTCTGGATCCATGAACAAAAATGCTGATAAGCAATAATTTGTTATAATTGGTATGACTGATAGCAAGGATACATTGCTTGTCCAGTTACAACAGCTGGCCCTCCACTGGGTGAAAACCCACTGTAAATCAGAAGCTGTAAATCACATGGAAGGAAATGGTCCATGTTTCTCTCTCGGTGCATTTGGTGGATTCAAATTGCTGCCTTTGTGTACAAGCACAGGCCACCAGAGCTACTTGAACATCTTAGAAGTGATTTTATGCCAATTCAGTTTTCACTATAGTCATTGTTCATTTTACCTCCCACATATTTTCTCAACTATTTCTCTATTTACTCTCATTCTTAGCTGACTTTCCAACAGGTCTGCAGAGGCTGTAAACGGCATGGGAAAAGACTGCCCACCTTTCCTCCCTTTGAGCTGTTGGCAGATATGAGCCACCAGAAAGATAAAACCTTTGGGCTAGTAGCACAATTCCATACCTAACTGTAACATGACTAACAAACACACGTGGTAAAATTACTCCCAACTTTTGGTCACTACAATCTATACTGAAATAAAGACATGCTGCTCCTTGGATATATGTGTCAGTTTAATGAGTACAGGATATGTACATATGTTTATGGGAATGTAATTTTTTACTATTCTACCACATATTTTAGAATGTCAACCTTGGTGCATTCGAGCTTTTAAGATCTAAAAAATTAACAATATTCTGATGTACAATGACTAGTGATCTGCTCTTTTTACACAGAACAACCTTGACAGCAGGCTGTTGTTAATAAAAGCTTTATTATTAGTTTTAGATTCACAGAAATATTAAGCAGGTAATATTGAGAGTCCAATATATTGACCCACCTTCTCCCCATCTCCCCCCCACAGCACTACGAAAACCAAACCCTACCACCATCAAATTGATCCCAACTCAGGGCAGTGTAGAACTGACCACCTGAAAGCAGTTTTTTACATTATCTTTGTTCTAATTTTTTATGCCACTTCAATCAATTACCAATTTTTCCTAACAGCATACACATTTCTATACTCAATATTTTCTAATATCTATGACTATATTTAAAGCAAATAATTTTTAACTTTACAAATCATACAATTGTAAAACAATTTGCCTCAAGTTCAAATCCTCATATCTGACAGCATACTATATCAGGTAGAACACCTAGCAGTAAGATTAGTAGTTAAACTAGTAGTGTTCATGTCTGAATTTGTTAATGAGAAAGCTTATAAAAGAGCATTGTTAATTTTAAGGGTATGGGCTTTCATTATACTGTAATAATTCTTGTTAAAAATCTTGGTTTTGAATTGCTACAGAAGAATTTCACCATTAGGTCACTTTTTTATAAAAGGAAGTTTGTGATACATGTTAAGTATAAACTCTACTGAAGGATTTCTTAAAGACATTCACAGAGCTTTAATGAGTATGAATTCTCTGATGTCTGATATGATGTGACTTCTGGCTAAAGGCTTTTCCACATACACTACACTGATAAGGTTTTTCACCTGTATGGATTCGCATATGTAGAGCAAGGGTTGAAAACTGAGAGAACGCTTTTCCACATTCATTACAACCATATGGTTTCTCACCTGTATGGCTTCTCATATGCACTGTAAGAGAAGAGCTTTGACAAAAGGCTTTTCCACATATTTTACATTCATAAGGTTTATCACCTGTGTGAATTCTCACATGTACAATAAGTGATGTGATTCGAGAGAAGGCCTTTCCACATTTATTACATTCATAGGGTTTTTCTCCTGTATGAATATTATGATGTTTAATGAGATACTGCTTCTGCCTAAAGATTGTTCCACATTCATTACATTTATAGGGTTTTTCTCCAATATGAATTTTCTCATGCTCAGTGAGATTTGATCTGCCACTGAAGGCTTTCCCACATTCTTTACATGTATAGGGTTTCTCTCCAGTATGACTCCTCTGGTGTCTAATAAGGCTTGACTTCTGAATGAAAGCTTTCCCACAACCTTTACATTCAAAAGGTTTCTCTCCAGTATGGATTCGCTGATGAATAATGAGGTTTTCCTTCTGGCTAAATGCTTTCCCACATTCATGACATTCAAAGGGTTTATTTCCACTATGAATATTCTGATGTTTGATGAGGTATTGCTTCTGGGTGAAGGCTCTTCCACACAGGTCACATTCAAATGGTTTCTCTCCAGTATGAACTTTCTCATGCTCAGACAGATAAGATTTGCCATTAAAGGTTTTCCCACATTCCTTACATGTATAATCTCTCTGGTGTCTAATGTGACTTGACATCTGACTAGAAACCTTGACACATTCATAAGGTTTCTCTGCAATATGATGTTTCTGATGAGAAAGCAAGTTTCCCTTTTGGGTGAAGGCTTTTCCACATTTATTACAGGTATATCGTTTTCCCCCTGTATGACTTCTTAAATGTTGAGTAAGTGACGTGACTCTAGAGAACACTTTACCACATTCAGTACATTCATGTGCTTTCTCTTCATTATGCATATTCTCATGATCTATGAGGTTTTGTTTTAAGCAACAAGGTTTTCCACATTCAACATCTCCATAAGATTCCTCTCCAGTATGAATCTGTACATGTGGAAGGAGGTTTGCTTCATGCTGAAGATTTTCCAACATTTCTATCCCAGTTTTTCTCCTGCAAGATTTCTCTGGTGGATTAGCCCGAGCTGTCAAAGATGAAAGCTTTTACACATGAGCTAAACTGATTCTTTTTCTGCAATTTTACCTTTTAAATATCTAATTCAGTTGAATTTATTTTCTCATATGAATAACTCTAACATATCCATATATTCCACAATAGTTCTTTCTCATTATATTTTTAAGTTTTTTCTTATGTAGTTTCTTTCATATTTTAACAAAGAAAAAAAATAACTATACAAAAGTAATTTATATGTAATAAATTATGTCTCAGATATAAATTATGTCCCAAACTCTGTCAAATTGAATCACATACAGAAGTGAAGCCCTTAAGCATCAATGTCCGTTGTAAATGCCTTTCAGTTTTTAAAGCTTTCGGAATTTCTCATCAGTTTGTATTTTCATGGATGACACTTGAAAGTCTTTCATGCTATATGCATCTGTTTATAAACTTCCCTGCCTTTTCCCCCTAAAAGAGTATAAAAAAAAGAAAAAAGTTAAGTTTAAAAGAATTAATAGATACAAAATATTTAGTAACTGGTATGTTCCTCATACATTAGCTATCATTGTTATTCTCAACATTATAATACCACCTGTGAATTTTTCCACTGTTACTAATAAAATGTAAAAAACTGTAGAGTCCTATTTCAAGTCTAGTTTTCCAGTTAAAAAAGCACAAATGTAAATATTAATGGGTCAATTCAGCAATGCAACTCACTGGCTCAGTAACAGTCACTGACCCTTCAGTGGGTTTTTAGATGCTCTAACTCACAGGGGATGAAACTGCCCATCTTTCTCCCAAGAGGCACTAGTGGATTCAAAGTGACAGAGAGAAGCTACTTTGGGGTTTAAGAGCACAACTGCCTGCACCAGAACTTCCTATTCAAGGGTAGTTATACATAAACTTTAGTGTTAACCTTGCACACATCACAGTAAAATATGAGAAAGCAACAAACATGATGACAGGACACACATTTAAGAGTTCATCAAGGATGCTAAAACAAGAACATGAAAACAGAAACATGGTTAAGAAATGCTGAACTCATATATTTATTCCTACATCTATTAAAATAACAGCAAAGGGTTACTGTTGGATATAAAGCGAGATGAGAGAAAAAAGAAGCAGCAGCAACTGGTCCAAAGTAACGAGCAGGTCTTTATTATGTAGGGGGATGCCAGATGACTGCATGCAGAGATCAGAATGGTGTGCTGGCAGACAAAAGCATTTCCTTTTTATAGGGGCTATTAAGGTGATTTCCATGCAATGTTTCCTTGCTCTCTTCTGACAACTGCCTTCTGGTCCAAGTATAGGTTTCGCACTAGCATCATCAAGTGTTCTGGGATTCCCATTCTTCTCAGAGTTAGACCCAGTTTACTGTGACCCACAAAGTCAAACGCCTTTGCATAATCAATAAAATAGATAGACATTCCTCTGGTACTCCCTGCTTTCAGCCAAGATCCATCTAACATTAGCCACACTATCCCTAGCACCATGACCTCAAAAATTGGGAAGGCTGTATGCCAAGGATGTGTCCTATCTCCATACCTTTTCAACCTATACGCAGAATAGATTATCCAGGAGCCTGGGCTGTAGGAGAAATGTGGCATCAGGACTGGAGGAAGATTCATCAAAAATCTGCATTGTGCAGATGACACAACCGTGCTTGCTGAAACTATGGAGGAGCTGAAGAGCTTGCTAGAGAAGGTCAAGGACCGTAGTCTTCAATATGGATTTAGGTTCAATATCAAGAAAACGAAGATTCTCACCACTGGACCAATTGGTAGCATCATGACATGAGAGATGGTGAAGAGATTGAGATTGTTAACAGCTTTAGTTTGCTTGGCTCCACAATCAACACTCTTGGCACCAGCAACCAAGAATTTAAAAGATGTATTGCGATAGGAAAGTCTACTGTTAGAGACCTTTCCAAAGTACTGAAGAGCAATGATGCCACTCTGAAGACCAAGGTGCACCTGATACAGGCAATGGTCTTTGCAATCACTGTTATGGATGAGAGAGCTGGACAATGATCAGGGATGATAGAAGAAGAATTGATGCCTTTGAGCTGTGGTGTTGGAGAAGAGTACTGAATATACTATGGACTGCTAGGAAAACAAACAGGTTAGTCCTGGAGAGGGTTAAACCAGGCTGCTCCTTGGAGGCAACAATTCAGAAGCTTTGTCTGACATACTTTGGACATGCTACAAGGAAAGACCAGTCCTTGGAGAGGGACGTCATGCTTGGGAGGGTGGAAGGACTACATAGGAAAGGAAAACCTCTTTTGATTAATTAAGTGACTGGGGTAATTGGGGGAAGTGTGTCGGAGACAGTGAAATTGGCAGAATATAGGGCAAGGTTTAGGTCTGCTGTACATAGGGTCACTATGAGTCGCAGGTGACTCAATGGCACATAACAACATTAAGGTGATTTAGAGAGGATGACAGTTTGTTCAGGAATCTGGGGGTCCTATCAGGACATGTTCAGGCCCAGGGCCTTATCAGGATTTGGTCATCTAGTTGCCCTAACAGGATATGGTCAGTCCTTACCAAGACATTGTTAGGCCTCGTCAATGCAAGGTCAGGAAGTGCGACATTCTTCCTCTAGTTAGAAAGAGGTAAATAGAAATACCAATGAGGAAAAACTAGTAGTTGAAAAGCAGTATGAAATTTTTGGAAGTATTATAAATTAATAGCTTAAATAGCAAATGAGTGAGGATATCAAGCAGAGGTAAGGTAATCTGTAACATACACACATTACATTAAAAAAAAGAGATGGGGAACTCTCACTAGAGAAATGAGTCACAGTGAGTGTGAAGGCTGGAGCTTATAAAACAAGTTTTAATGTACACCCACATTTATTGCTGCTTTGTTCACAATAGCAAAGAGTTAGAAACAAACTAAGTGCCTATCAACAAACAAATGGATAAAGAAACTGTGGCATATTCATACAATGGAATACTATACTACAATGAAAAACAAGGAACTCACGAAATATACAATGGGTGACTCTAGAGGATATTATGCTGAGTGAAATAACTCAGTCACAAAAGACAAATACTGCATAATGCCATTGTTGTAAAAACAGGACTTACACCAGTGTAGGGGGATAAAGAATGTACACTGCAATGAAACAGATTAGGTATTATTTTCTTAAGAGTACAGAATTTTTTAAAAAAGAGTCTAGAATAAGAGCTGCACAGTAAAGTGGACTTGGGGGGATATGGTGGGGAGAAAGGATGTATAACAATGCCAAGATTATTTTTTTCCTTCTTCAAAAAGAAAAGAGAACAGGGGGGAGGGGTGAGTAGGGAGGAAAGTGTGCAACAATGTATGAATGGAAATCCAGTCTTTGTAAACATTCACTAAAATTTAATAATTTTAAAAAAACACCAAAATACCCCACCAAGTTTTAAAAGTTAAGAGATTATCCAATTCTCTTACTTACTTACATTATTATGAAAGGTAGTGGGTGGATCAATGTCTTGACAAAATAAAACAGAAGCAAAGCAGGTGAGAAGTTCTCTATGGAAAAGAGAAAAGTTATAGTTTATTTTATATACATATACATAAAATATATATATATTAAAAAAACATAAGTCCAACTACTTTCCACTGACAAGCTCCAAGAATGCTGTTGGTTACTAGCTTTCAGATAGATAAAAAATTTTCTGGAAAAAAAATAGGAAAAAAATCTATAGCTATAGACATCTGGAACTCATCCAAAGGAAGAAACTAAATTTATGAAATATTACAAGCACCATGTGAACAAAGATTATAATAATCTTTTTGGTATGTCAGTTTTAAATATGAACATACACCAAAATATCACCAAATATTTGAGGGGCGGCCTAAAATGAAAGATAACAACAATGAGGATAAAATAACAAAGGAAATGGGAACAAGAAACTCATCTTTCACACTGTTGCGCTGTTGTTACATACTGTTAAGTTGGAACTGACTCATAGCTGACCCTTCAGTGGGTTTTCAGAGGCTACAAACTGAATGTGAGGAGACTGTCAATCTTTCATCCAAGGAATAGATGGTGGATTTGAACCATGTGCCTCTAAGTTGGCAGTGTAGCTACTTACCACTAGGCTATGAGAACATCTTAAAAATGCCTAAACTCATACAACAATTACCTGACATTTAATTTAAAAATAACATAAACCTAGAAGATAGTTAAATAAGTGCAGCTGTCCATATGGAGCAGGCATTGAGGATGAAGAAGGTACTGTAATCGTGCCTTAAAAAAAAAAATTAGTGTTCTCAGGGAACATTCACATAACTATTTGAGTTCCCACTGAAAATATACTACCAAAAATATTCAGTGATTTGATTAGGTTCTTCATAATGCATGAATGTTCTCTTTCTATCTTGGTGGCTCCATTTCCACTGATCTAGTTTTCCTTACCATACCTTCTTATTTTGGTTTTAAAATAATTGTTGACCATTTGGTATAGATGGTTTTTAAAAGAGCACAGAACTTATGGGTAATATTTGTGTGTTGAGGTAATAATCTATTCTATGACTCCTCTCCAGGCAGACTAAGAAAAGGACTTGAACCCATAACATCCTTTGGCAAGGCAGCTGGGAATTGGATCACATTCTATCATTTCCTTCACCTATCAGAAAAGATTTCCCTGATTCAAGCATAGAATAATTTGTCTTTTTCTGTTCAGGCGCAAACACATGGCACTTGGTCAACTCTAGTTCTTTTATTTGCTCCCAGTAGGAAGGGAATGGGTCTATCAGGTACAAGAAGTGCAAACACAGAACATCTGTCCTGCACTGATCATATCTGGGAAAAGCCTGTTAGCCATGGCAGTGAAGGTGATCTTACCATGTGGCATCTGTGTGAGCAAAGCATGTCCCATGCACTATGAGAGCACCTGTGTGGTCTTTTGAACCATGGCACAATAGTTTGGTGGGACTGGCAGAACTGCTAGAAAATACATGATGATCATGTTGGAAATCCAAGG